TAGAAGGGTAAAAAAAACAATTATCATATTTTTCACTGGCAAATGAGGTTCCAATGGTGTAAATGCTTGCCCCGAGCTCTCATACTCTGATGGTGCATTGTCTTTGAGTTGTGCGCCTTTTGGCGTCATCTGGTCCAACACCATATGAGACTAGGCTCTTAAGGAAAGCTGTCTCGGGTGTGGACCAATCAACTTCAAGGACAGTGCATATATTATCAGAGTTGTGTTTTTTGTTTGCATTACGACTGCAGGTATTGTGGTCTATGCAAACATGACTCCTTGTAAAAAAGGTGTCAGTTTTGTTGCCAGATAGAAGGGTAAAAAACCACTTATCAACAACAGTTTTGTTTGTAACGCTCTGTTACCCCGTGTCCCTACTGGAAATCTGCAGGCAAACAAAACGAGCCTTATAACTCATCGGATTCCATCTTCAGAGTCTGAATATTCCGATTCTGACCATCTCGTTGAGGGGGATTAAGCCCCCAGACATCAAACCTTGGCTGTCACATTGTGCCCCCCCCCCCAAAACCCCCAACACACAAAAAAACTCCAAACAAAACGGAAATTAGCGGTTGGCTGTAACGATAACAAACAAAAAAACACTTTTAAGTTTTAAACAACGGTAAAAAAAAAGTGATATTCCCCCGGTTTTTTGAGTTGTGATCACGACGACGATGATGATGATGACGACGATGTTGATGATGTTGTGCTCCGCTCAATTGTGGCAGTACGTGGGAGTGTTTTATCTCGTTCTCTAGCTGTTTTTAGTCACCGTGTGTCCTCCCCCTTCCCACACACATCCACTACCCCCATCAGACTGGAACCCTCTTCTCGTCTTGTTGAGCCCCACTCCCAACCCACCTCGTTACTGGGGCGAATGCGCGTTTGCGGCCGCAACTCGCGGTTGCGTTTACTTACGGGGTAAGAACACACAACAAATACCAGAGGTGTGGACTCGAGTCATGTGACTTGGACTCGAGTCAGACTCGAGTCATGAATTTGATGACTTGAGACTCGACTTGGACTTGCATAACAATGACTTTGTCCCACCTCTGAGGTGTGGACTCGAGTCATGTGACTTGGACTCGAGTCAGACTCGAGTCATGAATTTGATGACTTCAGACTCGACTTGGACTTGCATCACAATGACTTTGTCCCACCTCTGACAAATACTACAAGGGAGGGGTAAAGTGAAAAAAAAATAACTTACAGAGTCCTGTAATAAATCAAATAAAAAAAGAGTCGTACGGTTAAGAGCGAGTCGGGTCTGGGTTCTTGTGTTGCGTGGAACGAGCGTGGTGATTGTGTGTGTGTCTGTCAATCTTTTATTTTGTCGATTTAAAGCTTCTTTCGTGACTGCAGGGATTCATCTTCTTGGTTCTTTCGGTAAAGTCATCACGTAGAAGGGAAGTAATAAAATAATAAAAATAAAACATAATAAAATAATTCTCACGACGTTTCGGCCACAACGCAAGCAGCCGTCCTCAGGTGAAGAACTGGTCTGTCGGAAAGACAGCGTCATTCACATCATCAACATCATCATCATTAACATCAACATCATCATCAACATCATCATCAACATCACCATCATCAACATCATCATCTTTTTTTTTCGATTTAAAATTTCGTGACTGCAGGGATTCATCTTCTTGGTTCTTTCGGTAAAGTCACGTAGAAGGGAAATAATAAAATAATAAAAATAAAACAATAAAATAATAAAAATAAAACATAATAAAATAATTCTCACGACGTTTCGGCCACAACGCAAGCAGCCGTCCTCAGGTGAAGACCAGGTCTGTCGGGGAGACAGCGTCTGAATGAATATACGCTCCAAGCCTGGGGTGTTTCATTCAGACGCTGTCTTTCCGACAGACCTGTTCTTCACATGAGGACGGCTGCTTGCGTTGTGGCCGAAACGTCGTGAGAATTATTTTATTATGTTTTATTTTTATTATTTATTACTTCTCTGTCAATCTTGATTTTAAGCTTTCGTGATTGCAAGAATCCATTCTCTTTGGTTCGTTCGGTGAAGTCACGTGGGGTAGAAAACATAACACTGGTCCTAGATTTGAAGCTTTCGTGACTGCAAGGATTCATATTCTTAGGTTTTTTCGGTAAAGTCACGTAGGTAAAAAATTTAAATTAATAAAAGTAAAATAAAATTAAATAAAAATCACGACGTTTCGGAGGCAACACAAGCTTCCGTCTTCAGGTGGAACAGTCACAGCACGATAGCTGTTTCAAGTAAGTGAGACATTCAAAGAAAACAGTCCTTGTATATATACTGGTTGAGGGTGGGAGGAGCCAAGGTAGACCCTGGATATCATTATTATTGTGAGGTTCGGTGCGGCTGAAACACGCTGTTAGGAATGAGCCTTTGTTAAATCCTTTATATTAAGTTCGCTTGCTTGCTTAGGACCGTGCAAATCTTTCGGTCGTTTTTTAACCCACTTCCCGTGATACAATCGAGCTGACATTTTGCACACAGACTCGTTGTGCGTGACAATTAATGTTCGTGAAAATTTTTTTCCAAAATTTTACACTTTTTAGGACAACAATATATTTAATTACCAATTGCATAATGGTGCAATGCAATCATCTGACCCATAGGTGGCAGCCATCTCAAGCCAGAGGACGAGAGGACTCTAGCCGCCACGCATATAAAGGATTTATAGTGAAAAACTTTGTTTTTATGGGTTATACTTATTGTGTAAACTAGGTGCGGCTGATGTAAAGGCGCGTGTAAATGGGACTGAGCCTTTTGTTATGTAGAGGTGGTGCGGCTGAAACCGCTGCCAGGAATGAGTCTTTGTTGTGTATTAATTTAAATGTTTTACCTACGTGACTTTACCGAAAAAAACCTAAGAATATAACACTGGTCAACAAAAAAAAACGTTTTTTTCTGGCCTGGACTTTTGCAGCTGTTTCTGACTAATTTCAGGGTGCTGATTCCAAATCTGATCTCAGATTTGCTCTATCACATCTCATTTTTATGCTATCGGCATACCCCATTTTGATTGATTTTACCCGAAATTAACTCTGTCACTTATGATTGCAAGTTGTTGCGAGTCAGTGACTGCTTTAGTGTTAAAATATGGTGCTGTATTTTTAGGATAGTGTGTTTATAATATCATTTTATGTAGATATCCACATTTATTTAATATTTTTCTTCTGCAGTTTTTATTGAAAATGCAATATTTGATATCTCAAAAACCTGATGTCGATAGACAAAAACTGATGCCAGATTTGGAATCAGCACCCCCCAAAATTACCTTAACACCGTTGGAATTCCTTGTGCCAGAAAAAGTGTGTTGAGCAGTGTAACAGATCACGACGTTTCGATCGCAACACAAGCAACCGTCTTCAGGGTTTTTTTCACCTGAAGACGGTCGCTTGCGTTGCGATCGAAACGTCGTGATCTGTTATTTTTTCAACCCACGTGACTTTACCGAAAGAATCAAAGCTTTCGCAGTCACGAAATCTTAAAATCAAGGGTGGGTGAATGATTTACGCTGTGTAATATTGTCAACCCAGGCGAGAATTTGAAATACCAAGTCAACACTCGTTTGAGTGGTTGAGTGAAATGATGGTTGAGTGATTGGGTAGATAGATATCGGTAAAACATCTGGTCTGACAATACAATTCTAGAGGTAAAACCTCTGACCTGACACTTGAGATCTCGAGGTAAAAAAACCTCTGACCTGACACGAGAGATTTAGAGGTAAAAACCTCTGATCTGACACGGGAGATCTCGAGGTTAAACCTCTGAGCCGACGCTCGAGATTTAGAGGTAAAAACCTCTGACCTGACACGAGATCTCGAGGTTTAACCTCTGACCTGACACGAGAGATCTAGAGGTAAAAAACCTCTGACCTGACACGGGAGATCTCGAGGTTAAACCTCTGAACTGATACCAGAGATTTCGAGGTTTAACCTCTGACCTGACACTCGAGATTTAGAGGTAAAAACCTCTGACCTGACACTTGAGATCTAGAGGTAAAACCTCTGACCTGACACGAGAGATCTAGAGGTAAAACCTCTGACCTGACACGAGAGATCTAGAGGTAAAACCTCTGACCTGACACGAGAGATCTAGAGGTAAAACCTCTGACCTGACACGAGAGATCTAGAGGTAAAACCTCTGACCTGACACGGGAGATCTAGAGGTAAAACCTCTGACCTGACACGAGAGATCTAGAGGTAAAACCTCTGATCTGACACGAGAGATCTAGAGGTAAAAAACCTCTGACCTGACGCTCGAGATCTCGAGGTAAAACCTCTGACCTGACACGGGAGATCTAGAGGTAAAAAACCTCTGACCTGACACGGGAGATCTAGAGGTAAAAAACCTCTGACCTGACACGAGATCTAGAGGTAAAACCTCTGACCTGACACGGGAGATCTAGAGGTAAAAAACCTCTGACCTGACACGAGATCTAGAGGTAAAACCTCTGGCCTGGCACTCGAGATCTAGAGGTAAAACCTCTGACCTGACACTTGATATCTAGAGGTAAAACCTCTGACCTGACACGGAGATCTAAAGGTAAAAAACCTCTGACCTGGCACTCGTGATCTAGCGGTAAAAAAAACCCTCTGACCTGACACGGGAAATCTCTAGGTAAAAAAAAACCTCTAATTCCGAGAGAAAAAGTAACAAAAAAAAACCTCTGACCTGACGCTCGAGATCTAGCGGTAAAAAACCCTCTGACCTGACACGGGAAATCTCTAGATAAAAAAAACCTCTAAATCCGCGAGAAAAAGTAAAAAAACCTCTGACCTGACACGGGAAATATCGAAGTAAAAAAACCTCTAAATCCGCGAGAAAAAGTAACAAAAAAAACCTCTGACCCGACGTTCGAGATCTAGCTGTAAAAAAAAAAACCTCTGACCTGACACGGGAAATCTCTAGATAAAAAAACCTCTGAATCCGAGAGAAAAGGTAACAAAAAAACCCTCTGTTCTGGCACCCCGACTTGCGTGACGTCACCGCCGCCCGGTCCACTTTCCTGAGGAGGTCTCGGGGCTTCGGGACTCAAGATGAGCGGCTCCACCATCGCCGTCATTGGAGGGGGGATTTCGGGTCTCGCCAGCGCCTTCTACGCCGTACGTGCAGGCAGCGTCGTGAAGAAGGTAACCGTCTCGTGTCTCGCGGAGTTCTCCTACACGGTGTGGGTGGGTTTGTTTTATTAAATTCGTTAAAAATACCTCGATCCGTCACGAAACGCCGCGGTGACGAACCACGAACACCCCCCCCACGCCAAAGTGGACAGCGCCACCTATGGGACAACAATGGACGCTTCTTCAACTGCGCGTCGCCGAAACGGCGTGTTTCGCTGCCCCGTAACTCGCGGAGGGAAATTCGGCGCCGCACCAAATTTGGCCAAGCGAAAAACGAGGGGTGGCTTCACGTCCCTGTCGAGTTTCGCGGTCGTGCGCCCGAGGATTGCGGAGTTACGGCCTCGCAAAGGTGGGGTGGCTGCTGTTTGCGAGCACCTATTAAAGCCCGGAGCTCCGTGGTCTCCCACTCCACGTTACTGTGACGAGAGCCAGCGGGTAATCGAACGGCTTCAACGGCCACTGTTGGTTTCATCCGAGGTGTCGAGGGCTCATGACACTTTTGGTGGTGGCGATTTTTTTCAACGCAGTTGATGATGATGGTGGTGGTGATGATGGTGATGTGGTTGGTGATGGTGTGGTGGTGGTGATTGTGGTGATGGTGTGGTGGTGATGGTGGTGATGGTGTGATGGTGGTGATGATGGTGTGGTGGTGGTGATGATGGTGTGGTGGTGGTGATTGTGGTGATGGTGTGGTGGTGATGGTGGTGATGTGGTGGTGATGGCGGTGATGATGATTGTGGTGGTGATGGTGGTGTGATGGTGATGGTGATGATGTGGTGTGGTGGTGATGGTGGTGATGTGGTGGTGATGGCGGTGATGATGATTGTGGTGGTGGTGGTGGTGATGGTGGTGATAATGGTGTGGTGGTGATGGTGGTGATGTGGTGGTGGTGGTGATGGTGTGGTGGTGATGGTGTGATGGTGTGGTGGTGATGGTGATGTGGTTGGTGATGGTGTGGTGGTGGTGATTGTGGTGATGGTGTGGTGGTGATGGTGGTGATGGTGTGATGGTGGTGATAATGTTGGTGATGGTGTGGTGGTGATGGTGTGATGGTGGTGATAATGTTGGTGATGGTGTGGTGGTGATGGTGTGATGGTGGTGATAATGTTGGTGATGGTGTGGTGGTGATGGTGTGGTGGTGGTGATGTGGTTGGTGATTCTGATTATAATGGTGGTGATGATGATGTGGTGGTGATTGTAGTGGTGTTGGTGGTGATGGTGGTGATGGCGTGGTGGTGGTGATTGTGGTGATAATGGTGTGGTGGTGATGGTGTGGTGGTGATGGTTATGGTGGTGATGTGGTGTGGTGGTGATGGTGGTGATGTGGTGGTGATGGCGGTGATGATGATTGTGGTGGTGATGGTGGTGTGATGGTGGTGATGTGGTGTGGTGGTGATGGTGGTGATGTGGTGCTGATGGCGGTGATGATGATTGTGGTGGTGATGGTGGTGTGATGGTGATGGTGGTGATGTGGTGTGGTGGTGATGGTGGTGATGTGGTGGTGATGGCGGTGATGATGATTGTGGTGGTGATGGTGGTGTGATGGTGATGGTGGTGATGTGGTGTGGTGGTGATGGTGGTGATGTGGTGCTGATGGCGGTGATGATGATTGTGGTGGTGATGGTGGTGATAATGGTGTGGTGGTGATGGTGGTGATGTGGTGGTGGTGGTGATGGTGGTGATGATGATGTGGTGGTGATGGTGTGGTGGTGATGGTGGTGATGTGGTGGTGATGGCGGTGATGATGATTGTGGTGGTGGTGTGATCGTGATGGTGGTGATGGTGTGGTGGTGGTGATTGTGGTGATAATGGTGTGGTGGTGATGGTGGTGATGTGGTGGTGATGGTGGTGATGATGATGTGGTGGTGATGGTGTGGTGGTGATGGTGGTGATGTGGTGGTGATGGCGGTGATGGTGTGGTGGTGATGGTGATGATGTGGTTGTTGGCGATTGAAGTGATGGTGGTGGTGATTGTGGTGATGGTGGTGTGGTGGTGATGGTGATGATGTGGTTGTTGGTGATGGTGGTGATTGTGGTAATAATGGTGTGGTGGTGATGTGGTTGTTGGCGATTGTAGTGGTGGAGATTGTGGTGGTAATGATGAAGATGGTGGTGTGGTGGTGATGGTGGTGGTGATGATGGTGGTGGTGATGATGGTGGTGGTGTGGTGGTAATGATGATGATGATGATGGTGTGGTGATGGTGGTGGTGATGATGATGATGATGGTGGTGGTGATTGTGGTGGTGATGATGGTGATGATGATGGTGGTGATGATGTTGATGATGTGGTTGGTGGTGGTGATGGTGATAGTGATGGTGGTGGTGTGGTGATAGTGTTAGTGTGGTGATAGTGGTGGTGTGGTGATAGTGGTGATGATGGTGTGGTGGTGATGATGATGGTGGTGATAGTGGTGATGGTTGTCTGTAGTGGTCTCATCATTCTCTGCGTCAATCTCCTCTTGCTATGCTTCTCTTTATAAGTGTGTAAGTATCATCGTCTTATTCTTGATGCATTATCAATCTGTGTGATTGTTTGGCTCTCCTATAAGTCTTGTGGGCCGACTGTGTAAGTCTATTGCTGCTCTATGGCATTCACTGCAAGTCTAATTCATATTTCAGTCTGTGGGACTATGCGTTAACAAAACACATTCCTGCGGAGGGAGCTGGTAGGAACGTCGGGTTGCTCGGTCAATGGCCTGCAGGGTCAACGGCGGCGTGGTGTATTCCGCAAATATGCCCGACTGAGGGCGGGCACAAGCCGGCGTGAGTAGATGAAACGTTGAGTTTTATAAGGGCACCACGGGGTGACCAGCCCCTCCCCACCCAGCCCCACCCCACCCACCCCTGACCCAGCCCCTCCCCACCCACCCCTGACCCAGCCCCTCCCCACCCAGCCCCACCCCTCCCACCAGCCCCACCCTCCCCACCCAGCCCCACCCCTCCCACCCTCCCCTCTCCACCCAGCCCGACCCCTCCCATTTTTGGATGCAGGACGGACGGACACAATAATCCCCTGTGGGCTGGTGTAACCAGGAGGTTCCTACCAGTATCAGAATCTGTCTTTATACTGCAGGAGGAATCCGATGAGCTACAAAGCTCTTTATTCACAGATGTCCAGTCGGGGCACCGGGGTGGTAAGAGCATTGCAGCAACAAAACGGTACAAAAAAAAACACCACAGCGGTGCAAATGACAAGAAAAGTTGACAAATCGTCCCCCCCCCCAAAAAAAAAACAGTATGCGTGTCGTTGCAACGATTAATCCGTTTCAACCGCAGTTTTTGAGAAAACCAACAAACAAAAAAACACAACCCCCCCCTACTTTGTCTGCCAGTTCCCCCCCATCATTGCGTGATCCACAAACCCCTGGCTCGCCGTGCGTGGCTGGGGTCGTCCCGGGTGTTGTGTAATCGCCCACTTCTTTGGGGGCTGCGTTGAGCAACGGAGGATTTCGTGGGCTTCGTTTTTTGTTATCGGTTTGACGTTGGCCAGAGAGTCGAACATGAATGACAACAATCTCTCTCTCTATCTCTCTCGGCCCGGAGAGTTTTTTTCTTTATGCCACGACCACCACCACCACCGCTAACCTCCATTTGGCGGTCGCAGAATCAGAATAATTCTTTATACCGGAGGAATCTGATGAGCTGTAACGCTCTTTTTTCACAAATGATGCTGGATGCAATTACCAGCGAAACGTCGTACTCAGAAAAATGTTTTTGTACATTTTGTGGTTTCACGCTTCAACACACCGGTGGGCTAAAGCAGTGAACTATTTTGTCTTTTGTCAACGTGACACTTTTTTGCTGATTGGCCGTGTCGGGTGGTGGAGGGTTACGACACATTTATAAATAACGCGATCTAAACCCAAAACGTTGATTATGAAATGTCCATTAGTTCTTCACGGGGTGGTGCTGCTGGAGGCTGTGTGGGTGGGATCTTTGTCTCCAGGTGGTGCTGCTGGAGGTGACATGGTGGGATCTTTGTCTTCAGGTGGTGCTGCTGGAGGTGACATGGTGGGATCTTTGTCTTCAGCTGGTGCTGCTGGAGGTGACATGGTGGGATCTTTGTCTACAGCTGGTGCTGCTGGAGGCTGTGTGGGTGGGATCTATGTCTTTGTCTTCAGGTGGTGCTGCTGGAGGTGACATGGTGGGATCTTTGTCTTCAGCTGGTGCTGCTGGAGGTGACATGGTGGAATCTTTGTCTACAGCTGGTGCTGCTGGAGGCTGTGTGGGTGGGATCTATGTCTTTGTCTACAGGTGGTGCAGCTGGAGGTGACATGGTGGAATCTTTGTCTACAGCTGGTGCTGCTGGAGGCTGTGTGGGTGGGATCTATGTCTTTGTCTTCAGGTGGTGCTGCTGGAGGTGACATGGTGGGATCTTTGTCTACAGCTGGTGCTGCTGGAGGCTGTGTGGGTGGGATCTATGTCTTTGTCTACAGGTGGTGCTGCTGGAGGTGACATGGTGGAATCTTTGTCTACAGCTGGTGCTGCTGGAGGCTGTGTGGGTGGGATCTTTGTCTTTGTCTACAGCTGGTGCTGCTGGAGGTGACATGGTGGGATCTTTGTCTACAGCTGGTGCTGCTGGAGGCTGTGTGGGTGGGATCTATGTCTTTGTCTACAGGTGGTGCTGCTGGAGGTGACATGGTGGAATCTTTGTCTCCAGGTGGTGCTGCTGGAGGCTGTGTGGGTGGGGTCTTTGTCTTTGTCTACAGCTGGTGCTGCTGGAGGCTGTGTGGGTGGGTTCTTTGTCTTTGTCTACAGCTGGTGCTGCTGGAGGCTGTGGGTGGGTTCTTTGTCTTTGTCTTCAGGTGGTGCTGCTGGAGGCTGTGGGTGGGATCTTTGTCTTTGTCTTCAGCTGGTGCTGCTGGAGGCTGTGTGGGTGGGTTCTTTGTCTTTGTCTTCAGCTGGTGCTGCTGGAGGTGACATGGTGGGATCTTTGTCTTCAGCTGGTGCTGCTGGAGGTGACATGGTGGGATCTTTGTCTACAGGTGGTGCTGCTGGAGGCTGTGTGGGTGGGGTCTTTGTCTTTGTCTTCAGGTGGTGCTGCTGGAGGTGACATGGTGGGATCTTTGTCTTCAGCTGGTGCTGCTGGAGGTGACATGGTGGGATCTTTGTCTCCAGGTGGTGCTGCTGGAGGCTGTGTGGGTGGGGTCTTTGTCTTTGTCTTCAGGTGGTGCTGCTGGAGGCTGTGTGGGTGGGATCTTTGTCTTTGTCTTCAGGTGGTGTTGCTGAAGGCTGTGTGGGTGGGATCTTTGTCTTTGTCTACAGCTGGTGCTGCTGGAGGCTGTGTGGGTGGGATCTTTGTCTTTGTCTTCAGGTGGTGCTGCTGGAGGTGACATGGTGGGATCTTTGTCTCCAGCTGGTGCTGCTGGAGGCTGTGTGGGTGGGGTCTTTGTCTTTGTCTTCAGGTGGTGCTGCTGGAGGTGACATGGTGGGATCTTTGTCTACAGGTGGTGCTGCTGGAGGCTGGGCCCGCGCTGGGGGGCTGGGTGCGATCGTCGCGCTCCCCACACGGGGCGGTGAGCGAACTCGGCCCGCGGAGCGTGAGGCCCAACGGACTCGTCGGGGGCAACACCCTGCGCATGGTGACGGCCGCACAACCGCCACCCTCGCCGCAACACCGCCACCCTCACCGCAACACCGCCACCGACGTCACAACACTGCCAGCCTCACCGCAACACCGCCACCCTCGCCGCAACACCGCCAGCTTAACCGCAACACCGCCAGCCTCACCACAACACCGCCACCCTCACCGCAACACCACCACCCTCACCGCAACACCACCACAACACCGCCACCCTCACCACAACACCGCCACCCTCACCGCAACACCGCCACCCTCACCGCAACACCACCACCCTCACCGCAACACCACCGCAACACCGCCACCCTCACCACAACACCACCACCCTCGCCACAACACCGCCACCCTCACCACAACACGGTCACATCACCACTCTCTCCACCACGGCCACAACACCACCCTCACCACAACACCGCCACCCTCGTCACAACACCACGCTCTCCACCACGGCCACAACACCACCCTCACCACAACACCGCCACCCTCGTCACATCACCACTCTCTCCACCACGGCCACAACACCACCCTCACCACAACACCGCCACCCTCGTCACATCACCACTCTCTCCACCACGGCCACAACACCACCCTCACCACAACACCACCACCCTCGTCACAACACCACGCTCTCCACCACGGCCACAACACCACCCTCACCACAACACCGCCACCCTCACCACAACACCGCCACCCTCACCACAACACCACGCCTAGTTACGTAATCGCTCTCCACCGCACCTTCACCACAACAGACTCATCGACTCGCTCGCTCGCTCACCCCCACTCCCAAGCCCACCCACTCGCCCTCCCCCTGTCTCCCCGTCTCTCCCCGTCCTCTTGTGTAATCTCGTGGTTAAGTTCATCTTTGCGTGTCCGCGCGTGTACCCGCGTGTCAACTCGTGTCTCCCCGCGTCTCCCCGTGTGTCAACTCATGTCTCCCTGTGTCTCCCCGCGTCTCCCCGCGTGTCAACTCGTGTCTCCCCGCGTCTCCCCACGTCTCCCCGCGTCTCCCCGTGTGTCAACTCATGTCTCCCTGTGTCTCCCCGCGTCTCCCCACGTCTCCCCGCGTCTCCCCGCGTGTCCCTCTGACTCCCCGCGTCTCCCCACGTCTCCCCGCGTGTCAACTCATGTCTCCCTGTGTCTCCCCGCGTCTCTCCGCGTGTCCCTCTGACTCCCCGCGTCTCCCCGCGTCTCCCCGCGTGTCAACTCATGTCTCCCTGTGTCTCCCCGCGTCTCCCCGCGTGTCCCTCTGACTCCCCGCGTCTCCCCGCGTGTCAACTCATGTCTCCCCGCGTCTCCCCGCGTCTCCCAGTGTGTCAACTCATGTCTCCCTGTGTCTCCCCACGTCTCCCAGTGTGTCAACTCATGTCTCCCCGCGTCTCCCCGCGTCTCCCAGTGTGTCAACTCATGTCTCCCTGTGTCTCCCCGCGTCTCCCAGTGTGTCAACTCATGTCTCCCCGCGTCTCCCCGCGTCTCCCAGTGTGTCAACTCATGTCTCCCTGTGTCTCCCCACGTCTCCCCGCGTGTCCCTCTGACTCCCCGCGTCTCCCCGTGTGTCAACTCATGTCTCCCCGCGTCTCCCCACGTCTCCCCGCGTCTCCCCGTGTGTCAACTCATGTCTCCCCGCGTCTCCCCGCGTCTCCCCACGTCTCCCCGCGTCTCCCCACGTCTCCCCGCGTGTCCCCGCGTGTCCTCGTGTCTCCCCGCGTGTCCCCGCGTGTCCCTGTGTGTCAACTCGCATGTCCACGTCTCCCCGCGTGTCCCCGCGTCTCCCCGCGTGTCAACTCATGTCTCCCTGTGTCTCCCCGCGTCTCCCCACGTCTCCCCGCGTCTCCCCGCGTGTCAACTCATGTCTCCCTGTGTCTCCCCGCGTCTCCCCACGTCTCCCCGCGTCTCCACCGCGTGTCAACTCATGTCTCCCTGTGTCTCCCCGCGTCTCCCCACGTCTCCCCGCGTCTCCCCGTGTGTCAACTCATGTCTCCCTGTCTCCCCGCGTCTCGCCGCGTCTCCCCGCGTCTCCCCGCGTGTCAACTCATGTCTCCCTGTGTCTCCCCGCGTCTCCCCGCGTGTCAACTCATGTCTCCCTGTGTCTCCCCGCGTCTCGCCGCGTGTCCCTCTGACTCCCCGCGTCTCCCGCGTCTCGCCGCGTGTCAACTCATGTCTCTCCTGTGTCTCCCCGCGTCTCCCCGCGTGTCCCTCTGACTCCCCGCGTCTCCCCGCGTGTCAACTCATGTCTCCCCGCGTCTCCCCGCGTCTCCCCGCGTGTCAACTCATGTCTCCCTGTGTCTCCCCACGTCTCCCCGCGTGTCCCTCTGACTCCCCGCGTCTCCCCGCGTGTCAACTCATGTCTCCCCGCGTCTCCCCGCGTCTCCCCGCGTGTCAACTCATGTCTCCCTGTGTCTCCCCACGTCTCCCCGCGTGTTCCTCTGACTCCCCGCGTCTCGCCGCGTGTCAACTCATGTCTCCCCGCGTCTCCCCGCGTCTCCCCGCGTGTCAACTCGTGTCTCCCTGTGTCTCCCCACGTCTCCCCGCGTGTCCCTCTGACTCCCCGCGTCTCCCCGCGTCTCCCCGTGTGTCAACTCATGTCTCCCTGTGTCTCCCCGCGTCTCCCCACGTCTCCCCGCGTCTCCCCGTGTGTCAACTCATGTCTCCCCGCGTCTCCCCGCGTCTCCCCGCGTCTCCCCACGTCTCCCCGCGTGTCCCCGCGTGTCCTCGTGTCTCCCCGCGTGTCAACTCATGTCTCCCTGTGTCTTCCCGCGTCTCCCCACGTCTCCCCGCGTCTCCCCGCGTGTCAACTCATGTCTCCCTGTGTCTCCCCGCGTCTCGCCGCGTGTCCCTCTGACTCCCCGCGTCTCCCCGCGTCTCCCCGCGTGTCAACTCATGTCTCCCCGCGTCTCCCCGCGTCTCCCCGCGTGTCAACTCATGTCTCCCCGCGTCTCCCCGCGTCTCCCCCGCGTGTCAACTCATGTCTGCCCGCGTCTCCCCACGTGTCAACTCATGTCTCCCCGTGTCTCCCCGCGTCTCCCCGCGTGTCAACTCATGTCTCCCTGTGTCTCCCCGCGTCTCCCCGCGTGTCCCTCTGACTCCCCGCGTCTCCCCGCGTCTCCCCGCGTCTCCCCGCGTCTCCCCGCGTGTCCCTCTGACTCCCCGCGTCTCCCCGCGTCTCCCCGCGTCTCCCCGCGTGTCCCCGCGTCTCCCCGCGTGTCCCCGTAGCTCTCCGATCTGGGCCTCTCCGACTCGGTGCTCCCAGTGACACGAGCGTCTCCAGCCGCCAAGAACCGCTTCGTGTTCACGGGGGGCACCCTGCACCCCCTCCCCAACTCGCTGTGGTGAGACGGAGCCCACGCACGCATATACAGCAGGCCGAACGCTACACGTGGCGCTGACGCTACACGTGGCGCTGACGCTACACGTGGCACTATAACACTACACGTGGCACTATAACACTACACGTGGCACTATAACACTACACGTGGCGCTAACATTACACCTGACGCTGACGCTACACAGAACGCTGACGCTGCACGTGACACTACCCCCTACGCGTAACGCTAACATTACACATTACGCTACCACTAAACATAACGCTACCCCTATGCATAATGGTAACACTACACGTAGAATTTACACTCACACTAC